GCGTGCCTATAATCCCAGCTACTTGGGAGGCTAAGGCAGGAGAATCACTTGAACCCAGAGGCAGAGGTTGCAGTGAGCTGAGATCATGCTGTTACACTGTAGCCTGGGCAACAAGAGTGGAACACCATCTCTCTCTCTCTCTCACACACACACACACACACACACACACACACACACACAAAACCAAAAAAAAGTAAGAGAAATCTATATGATGAATTATCATGTAACTGATTAAAATTATTTTTATGAAGAATTAGCAAATTGGGTGCAGTGGCTCATACTTGTAATCCCAGCAGGTTGGGATGCCAAGGTGGGAGAATCACTTGAGGCCAGGAGTTCGAGACCAGCCTATTCAGCATAGTGAGACCCCATCTCTACATATAATTTTTAAAAATTAGCCAGGCATGGCTGGGCACAGTGGCTCATGCCTATAATCTCAGCACTTTGGGAGGTCAAGGCAGGTGGATCACCTGAGGTTGGCAGTTCAAGACCAGCCTAACCAACATAGAGAAACCCTGTTTCTACTAAGAATGCAAAATTAGATGGGTGTGGTGGTGCATGCCTGTAATCCCAGCTACTTAGGATGCTGAGGCAGGAGAATCGCTTGAACCCAAGAGGCGGAGATTGTGGTGAGCCGAGATTGCACCATTGCACTCCAGCCTGGGCAATGAGAGTGACACTCTGTCTCAAAAATTTAAGAAAGCGAGGTGTGGTGGTTGTGATCGTGCCACTGTACTCCAGCCCAGACAACAGAGTAACTAGACCCTGTCTCTAAAAATAAAAAAAAAATTTAAAAAGAAAAATTAGCAGTGTAGTGGGAAATAATTATAAATGAAAAGAGTAACAATACAAAATGAAAAGAATAACAATACAAATTATACAGTTTTTCTGTTAAACTATATAGAAACATTGAAGGAAATACACAGAATTGTGTCTTAGCCATTAGATTCTAGGTAATATGATTTTGAGTAATTTTGTGTTTTATCTGTTGAAAAAATAGTTTTATAAAAGTAACAGTGTGATCTCATAGTTAAAAGGGTGTAGTTGCCGGGCGCGGTGGCTCAAGCCTGTAATCCCAGCACTTTGGGAGGCCGAGGCGGGTGGATCACGAGGTCAAGAGATCGAGACCATCCTGGTCAACATGGTGAAACCCCGTCTCTA